CCCCAAAACCCCAAAACCCCAAAACCCCAAAACCCCAAAACCCCATAAATCTCCAAAACCTTTGAAAAGTTATACAGTGTTTTAATCGAACAAGGAAAGCATCTTAGACTTGAACCTACGATTGATGATCGTTTTAGGAGGGTTGGCATTTTTGGGAGGTTTGGAATTTTTGGTGTAGAACATTTCTTTCATCTCTTTCAACTGGCCCTGTTTAGAGGTAGGATCTTGGCTAGAGTCATCTACACTTTCTTCTTTACCCTCTTGTTCATCAATAGTAGGATACAAATTATGTATTTCTTTTAAATTGATGTTTGTTGCTTGTCTTCTTAATGGCAATTTACCAGAAGATTTCCCTCCAATTTTGAGGTTCTCGGTTATGTCTTTCTCTGTAAAGTACTTAGATTCCTAGAGATTAGCAGAAATTTACCGGCTCTTGGATCCTGACCGAAGACCGCCTTCGTGGAGAAGTTGATCTTGGAGGAGACCCTATTGGCGGAGATACTACAAGAGGAGAGCGACGCTGAGGGATTTTTGAAACTATAGCATTCGGCTTGAGTAAATTATCAAGGCGGTTTATCTCTGATTCATCATCTTTATAACCTGATGAAATGGATTCTTTTGAAGAGGAGGGACTACTCACGGATTTCTGCTTTCTGGATCGAGGTGAAAATTCTCATCTCTCGAAAGCTAAGATTCTTGTATCAGATTCTTTCTTCTGATTAAAGCCTTTCTGGCTAACACTTACAGGGCTCTATAATTTATTGATTAATCCTACTTTCATAAGGGAAGATTTTCTTGAAGCAGTTGAAAAACGAGATTCACTGTTGAGCATATGCCCTCTTTTCAGACTTTTACCAAATTTAGAGGTATTAGTGCGTTTAAGATGATCAGAATTCTCCTCTTGCTTTAGTTTAAGTAGCTCATTTTGGAGTTTAGCTATTTTATTTTCTATTTTTTCTTTTGTAGAGTAAGGATCTATCGAAGAATCTCCACTTCCATTAGGTGCTAGAACAAAATCAGTTATTTTTAAATCAAAAATTTACCTGTTCTCTTTTGTCCTTTGAAATTTGATGTTCCTGAAGGAGCAACTACACTTGACGAGGTTTGATGGTAATAAGACTTCTTGTCTGCATCATCAGTACTATTATTATCTGACCTGGGCCTCATTGCAAAACTTCGCTGAAGCATGCTAAGTCTATTTGTCTCTAATTGCACTTTTCTGAAATTATTTAGTGTCATTTTGAGATATTTCTCTATGGAATTGAGATTTTGCAAAATACCTTGCTTTTCTTGAATATGAAGAGTATCGAGTAAACCCTTCTCAATAGTATAAGCCATTGCCATTCGCTTCTGTATTTTGGAGTAATCATACTTAACATGCTCCTCTGTATCAATAGGAATCAGTCCTTTTCTGCGAGCATTGAAGATGCTCTCATATCTCTTCTTGTTTTCTGTCAACTGGCGTAACTTGGTGTAATACGGGACATCTTCTTTGTTCACAATGAGCTTGTTCTTATCGTCTGTATGTACTTCCTGCATACCACTTGAGGTTCTGAGGTTGAACTCCTTCCTCTCTTCTTTTCTCTTTTGCTCCTTTAGTCTGAGCCTTTTATTTCAAATAGAAATAAGCAAGATTATAGAATATAACTTTTCTGGCAGCATTTTCAATTGCTTTTCTTTGTTTTAGTCTGTGGAGGATTTCATAGGTAGACTTCTCGCCTCGAGTGAATTCAGATGCTGAAGTAAGTGTGACTACAGACATTGACACCATGAATACCCCACAGAAGCATGAGAGAATTACTACAAATCTCCCTAGATGAGTCCTGGGGTAATAGTCTCCATAGCCAACTGTTGTCATTGTTACTACTATTAGCCACCAAGCATTATTGAAGAGACTGTAATCTTGGTATGATGGGTCGTCACTTTCTATATTAGACACTTTTGGGTCATCATAGAAGGGCCTCTCAAACATCCGTACTGCAAACGCCAATCATCAAGAAGATAATATGAAATATGTTGTAAGCATCAAGTAAGGTCTCCTCTTGAACAATGATTTTATTATTATGTTGTATGATAAATTCGATTCTAGCTCTGTGCTGTAAATAAACTTATCAGTGTATTCATAGTTAAAGAGGGAGAACTCTCTAAGAACTCGAAGGACAAGGTAAGCTCTGGCCATCATTCACAGGAAAATGAAGGTATCAAGTGGATATCGAATACGACCTCCGATTTGTCTGTATTCAAAGAAGACCTAAAAACTGTGGTTAAACCCTAATATTCCAGAAGATTACCTTTTCAGTGCCAAAGTAGGGTGGACTATGAATTCCACATATCAGGATCTCAAGTACCAATTTCCTGAGTTCTTTCAAATCTAACCATCGTTTGGTAGGCTATAAGATTAAATTCGCACATTTTGGGAAATAGTCACAACATTTGAGCAGATTAAATTTTTTTTGTTATATTTAACAGCCTGAGAATTTAAGGAATCAAAGTGAAACATAAAGCGCTCAATGAAGGAGATATTTACCTCTATGATCTTCAGCTTCTTACATATTAGTATGTATCTCATGATAAGTCAGGATATTAGCAATAAGGTTAGAACACTCACAATCGTTCGAAGTGCTATCTCTGCAGGTTTTAGTTTATACTCATAAGCCTACAAAAGAGATTAGGTGGAAAGTGAAGATATTCAGCAATAACGTGTAAAAATCTTTCTTACATAGCAATTATGTTTCCCAAAATCATAGGGAGATAGTAAAGGAAATTTGAAGATTTAGTATATAATTGAGAAATCTTACAAAGACATCAGCATCAGCTTGTGCAAACAGCACTCCAAAAATGGCAATTGTGAGGTTTGAGAAATCCAAATAAGTAATTCTTTTGCTTAATTTATTTTATTTTTAGCAATATAGCTTTCTCAGATTCTTTCTTTTTGTTCAAAATATTATTCCTTTGGGCATTATTCCCGATGTTACTAGTGCCAATACCTAAGAAGATTAGAAGATAGTTACTTGAGGAAGACTCTGATTCACCCATAAATGAACTTCTTGGATCTATGAATGACTCAGGGTTTGAGTCTGGTTCGAAAGCACCATCATCAGGAGTAGCTCCAAGTTGTTCCTATGGAGATTTGATCAATAGCTTACTCTTTCCAGATGGTTTTGGAACTTTAAATTAGCTTCTCTTCTGATCTTTCTAGCGAGCATATTTAATTTAAATATTTTCAGCCACCTCATTCTTTAGGGGTTTTGGGGTTTTGGGGTTTTGGGGTTTTGGGGTTTTGGGG